ATAATATTTATATTTAACTATTAAAAATTTAATAATCTTAAAATTAAAATATATACTATTAATAATCTTATCTTCTATAAAATAATCTAAAAAAATAAGATTAATAAGTTTTATAATAAGATTTATAAGATAATTATAAAAGATAAGAATAAACTTCGCGAAGTTATATTTAATAAGTACTCTATAAAGAATAAGATACTCTATTATAAAAATCGCTTATAGATATTAAAAGATTTATATATTAACGTTATTCGCGAAGTATATAATTAATTCTTATATAAATATCTTAATATAATTTATATTTATAAATTATTTAAGTAAGAATATTATTAATAAGATATAAGAGTTATTATTTCTATCTATATTTGAAATTATTATACTTATTATAAATCTAAGACTTCTCGCGATTAAGAATATAATCTATTATAATCTCTACTAATTTCTTAAAAGTAATAATAGAATATCTCGATAGACTTTATAATAAGTTTATCTATATTTAATAGATATAATACTATCTAAAGAATAATAAATCGATTTATTAAGAAATAATATTATATCGTATACTCTAATATAAATAAAGAAATTATAGCTAAAAAGATAATTAATATATTATTTAAGAAGATCTTTCGCTTATATAATTTATTAGTATTAATAATTTTAGATAGAGGCTCTTAATTTATATTAATAATATAAAAATCTTTTTATAAATAATTTAGAATTAACGCTAACTTATTAATAGTCTTCTTTTATTTTAAAATTAATAGACAAAGTAAACGAGTTAATTAGAATATAAAATATTATCTTTAAATATATTATAATTATATATAAGATAATTAATCTAGATAATTACTTATTATCGAGTTTATCGATAATAATACTATATTTATAATTATAAATATCTTACTATTCTTTATAAATAAGAGCTTTTATTTTGAAATAAGTTTTAATTTAAATACTATCGACTATAATATTATTTATAAATATCTTAATATTATTTAAGTAAAAGATATTATTAAATATATATAATAAATTCTTAATTATATTTAAAATAATATAAATTATATTTAAAAGATTATAATAATCTAAATAGATAAGTAATATTAAAAGATTACTTTTAAAATAAATAATATAGTCTTTTTTAATAATAAGAATATTATCTTAAATTAATTATCTTAAAAGCTAGATAATAAGAGATATAGCTTATTTAAAGTAATAAGTCTTATAAAAATCTTATATCGCTTAAAGCTTTTAGTAAGTATAAAGATCTATAATATCTTTTATCTTAATCTCTTAATCTTTATATCGATAAACTCTCTATTTAAATAAATTAATTCTCTATTAAAGTATATTATTATTAAGAATTAAATCGAATAGATAATAGAGAAGATTCTTATCTTTAAATTTATTAATAATTACTTTAAATATAAGATAAAATAAGAGAATCTTAATAAGAATCTTAAATAATATAACTCGAATAATAGCGAATTTGAAAATTATTAAGATATAATCGACGATTTTTATAAGTAATATTTATAAATAACTTATTAAGCTCGATAATATCTCGAATATCGTATTTTTAAATAAATTAAAGTTATTCGATATTTTATAATATCTTCATTTTTTATCATTATAAAATAATTTTTTAAATTAATATTATTTTATAACGCTTTTATATTAAATCTATTAAGTTAAATTTTCTTATTAATATAACTTTTAATATATTTCGAGACTATATTAGATTATACGCGAATCTTACTATTATTATTATTAAATATAATTAATATTAATTAGATAACTTATTATAAAGAGATTTACGTTAATATATTTAAGTATTAAATTAAAGTTTAACGTCTATAATTTAATTTAATTTAAGACTTCTCGATTAATTAAATTATATTATTTTATTAATATTATTTATATTAAAATATCGACTTAAAAATTATTATTACTTATTAAAGTACTTATAATTACTACTCGCTTATTATTCTATTAATTTCTTTTAAATTAAGATTCTTATACTTATTATATCTCTAACTAATAATAATACTAATTTAGAAATTAAGATATAAGCTCTTATTATTTATATTATTATCGAGAAATATTAAAATATTAAAGATCTTAAATATTAAAAGTTCTTTATTATTTCATTAATCTTTAAGCGAGCTTATATATATACTATTTTTGCTACTTTTTTCGTTATTAATTATAAAGATATAATTCTATAAGAGAAAGAGAATAATATTATAAGCGTATCTTATATCTTACTTAATAGATTATTTAGCTCTATAGTTTAATAGAATCTAATATATCTTAATAGAGATATCTATTATTACTTAATATCTTTTATTTATATAGTTATCTAATATCTAATTATCTTATTTAATATATCTATATTAATTCTATATCTATATCGATTCTAATAAATATCTTTAAAATAATAAATATTAGAAAATTATCTTCGCTATTAAAAGTATATCGTCTCTTATTTCTAATCTATTATTACTTATATATATTAATAATATTACTACTTTTAAAATATTAATAATTAAAATCTCTATATTATACTCGATAATATATTTATTAAAATATTATTCTATAATCTCGTCTTTAATATATTAGTTATCTATATTAAAAAATTATCTTATTATAATTAATTTATATATACGCTATATACTTAAAAAAAACCTTAAATCTTAAATAGAAAATAAAAAAGTTATTCTATATATTAATAATATATATCTATTTTTTTAATAAGAGAGACGCGATAGAGCGAGATTTTAATAGTTATAAATATTAATTTATTTATTTATAATAAATTTATCGATCTAATTAAAAAGCGTAGAGAACTTAAATTTATAATTAGCTATTTATATAAATTTAAGATTTTTAAGCTTAAGTCTATTTTATTCTTTTATATATACTAATATAATTCTAAAATCTATAAAATATTCTAGTAATATTTTATAAATTTCTTATATCTTTAAAATATCTTATAAATTTTATATTTTATATTCTTTTAATCGATTTAAAAGAAACTCTCTCTTCTTTATATTATAAAAAATAAGTAATTTCTATTAAAAAATCTTATATCTTTTTAAGACGTAATTAGTTATAAATTAAAAAGATAATATATCTAAGTATAAATCTTATTATTATACGTAGATTTAACTTAATTCTAGAAAAATATAAGAAATTTCGTATTTTTAATTTAAATATAAATTTTAATTACGTATTTTAAGCGTAATAAGTTTTTTAGAAATACGTTAATAAACGCGTATACTTATAAGTTATAATATATATATACTTATAAGTTACTTTCAAATATATCTATATTAATATAGATTTTTTTCTATTCTTTTTTATTCTTCTTTATTATTAGAATTAATATAGAGCTAATAATTATATAAATATATTAAATTAAGATAATTAAGTAAGAAGTAATTATATATAAGAGAGAGAGAGCTTATATAGAATAAGAAGTCTCTCGCTAAATACGCTAGACTATAATAAGACTAGTTTATAAAAAAGAATATATTAAAGAATATATAATATTAAGAGAATATAGACTTACTATATTAAAGAATATATAAATATAAAATATACTCGTAATATTTATTCTTAATTAATTAATTTTCTTTTCTTTTAATAAGATTTATATTATAATAAAAGACTTAACTTAACTTAATTTTCTTAATATTTTAAAGTTAAACTAATCTCGAATATTAGCGTATTATAATTTACTTAATTATTTACGTTAATTATATATTACGAAGATATATATATATATATAAACTTATCGATAAAAGAAGTTTAATATTAATTAACTATAATTATAATCGCGTAATACTCAAATTCTAATACTAGTTTTACGAGTTTTTTAAAAGTCTATATTAACGTTATTAAATTCTCGAGAAATAATCTTAAAAAGTAATATATTCGATAGAAAAGATTTAAATTTATTATTTTATATTAGAAAATAAATTATAATAATAGAGAATTAAGTTATAAATACGTCGCGTAAGTAGATATTAATTAATAGAAAATATAATTTAAAAATCTATATAGATCATAAACGAAAATAACGTATATTTAATAAGATTATATCATTTTACACTTAGATCTATTATCGTTAAGTTACGAAGTTAGTAAATTAATTTAAAGAAACTTAATAAGATATTAATAAAGTTAAGAGATTAAGATAATATATAAAATATTAAATATAATAAAGACTACGTCGAGAATATATCTTATACTCGCGATTAAATATATTATTTTATTTTAAGCTTAAATATATTCTATTTTACTATCGCTTAAATATCGAAAAATACTAAAAAAATAAAATAGCTTGGCGCTAAAACTTAGAGTTGAGGGACTAGCCAGTAGAGGTATGAACACGGCTGAGAACTGAGGCAAATGTATTTAGGAGCCAGCAGTAGCCGGGTAAACCTCGGAAAACGGTGACTTCTGACACCCCCGAGCTCTGTGAACTTCACCATCGCTCATCTTCTTTCTTCTTCCACACCACTCTGATTCTTGTTTCCTTACTCACAGCAATTGCCGAATTCTGAATGAATCCACCGCTATACCGTCCAGAGGTATGGGTAATGACTACATGACTGATACCGCAGGGCCATCGTGGTCCTTGACCGAAGACACTTTACTTCAACATGTGAGAATTTGCTCTGTGCACCTCTGCTCATGATACTTGACATGCCTTTAATCTGAGACAGTCTATCTTCACCCATCAGATCCCTTCTCAGTCTACGCCACTGAACCAGCCTTCGACCTCAACCCCACCTCACGACCCTCCTTCGCGCTCTCCCTCCCCCCTCGATCTCTCTCCTCGAAGACCCGAGGGAGTCGACATCGCTGACGCGTCATTCACACCTCTTACACCAGTCGATCCTGATAGCTTTCAAGACTTCGACTTGTCGGATTGGCACTCAGAGTGCCTCAGACCTGACTCACAATCACTTTGCTCAGAAACCGCTTCCTTTGCGATGAACGTCTCAACTGTTCGTGCGAACCTTAAATCGAGAGGCTTCTATTACGATGACGAAGATGCATTAGCAAGAGGTGGACAAGCAATTAAAGACAAGGCACGTGAGATTATTACATCGCAGAGGAATTCACCAACGTCAAATGACAACGCACCATTGCTGAAGGCAGCCATTCGCAAATACTGTGGCTCTACGGAAAGAACGCTTGTGTTCAATGTCTGGTGCATCCTACGACAGCAAAAGCTCCGTGACATTACTGAGAAGCCGCTTTCGCCACAGGGAGAAGACAATGCATTGGCATGGGTGAAACGAGCCTGGAGCATGGATTTCCTTGACTGCGTCTTCGAAGCCGACCTTAACAAAGATATGATACCCGACACTTCACATACGGTAAGGTCATTCTTCAAGAAGGCTGCAATGATCTCTGACTTCGCGATCTTTCTAGGGCAGCAAAACCACGGACATCATGTTTAAAGATCTACCTCGCATAGAACAACCCCGCCCTGATGTCACGTACGGCTTGTGGAAAGCAGACATCGATTCACCCTGTCGTGGTATCCTCGACACCTACCACTGTGAGCTTGCGAAGGATGTCGAGTTGCCCTGGTTTCTAGTGGAAGTCAAAACGCTGAACGCGGTGGTCGGAGAAGCGGAGAATCAATGTATCCGTGGGGGTGCAGTGCTAGTCAACGGGCATCATCAGTGGAACCGAGTCGCGGACGGCGTAAAGCATTCCCTGGATCTGAGCAAGAAGGAGAAGGAAGAGGAGCACGATAGGCTCATCGCGAAAAGGGAGAAAGCCGGGACTGTATGTATCCTTGCCCCATGTTCACAGGTCTGCGTTCGATGGCCTCGAATGTTCATCTACGAGTGCCTTGTTGATATTCGTGACAGGCTTACGATAAACTACAAAGTACCGCGGATTCCGCAACGCTTGCCTTCTCTCTCGCCTTTTCCCCATCAACCGCAACGATGCATGTGCACTGGCGGGAGGAATGGGAGAACGGGGTGGAGCACTGGCACGCCCACACGATACAGACCTATGCGATGCGGACTGAGCATAGGGATTACGAACAGCTCGGCATGCATATGGCGAACATCATGGATTGGGGGTGCAGGACGCGTCGGATGGAGATTGAAAAGCAGGCAAAGGTCATTGCAAAGCGCAAGTACCCGGGTATTGACGAGAATGAGGTCTGCTTCGCGCCCAATAAGCGGCAGAAATCGGGCTAAGGAGGCCTTTGTGAAAATCAGTGGCGGTGATCCTTGTCTTTAGCAAGCGAATCAGATTAGCACCTCATTGACTCGTGAGACGAGAGCTTTTAGATAGATTATACGGCATAGCAACGGGTGCTTTCTGTGAGCTAGCGGAACTTTACAAAGCCTCTTCAGTGTTCATGCGAGGCTTTCTCAACACCGTGACAAATGTTCATTGATTAGATGGCATGACCTTTGTACTTGTTTTGTCTTGTATAAGAGTCTACCTCTATCTTAATCGCAAGACCTCTACGGCAAGAGAAATTCAGAGAAGACAGACCGGACATCGAAGATAAACCGACTAGCGCCATAGAACACATACAATATATCTACGACATAGATTGTCGGAACTAGACTCTTTCCATCAAAGTAATTCGACATTCCTTTAATCCGGTAGCACTACCCATGTTTATAAAATTAGTTGATGGGCCGACTATATCTAAATCAATAGCTTCCAGTAGGCTCAGAGAATGTTCAGGCTCTCCGCCAACGAGGGAAGGGTCAGGTTTGGAAATGTAGTCGTTCTCGCAGACATCTCACATATTGTGCTTCACCGTCCCATCTCTTATGCGTAGCTCTACCTTATCCTGCGATTCAAGCATCAGAGGAGGATTGAGATTCCTACAAAATTGCGCTGGCACCCTCCCATCCTCGCCTTCCTCCTTTTCAACCTCCCCAGGCCACCACCGACAACGTTCTGGTCGCATCTGAACCGTGTATTTCCCATCCACCAACCCATCCACGAACGCTCCGAGATCAATTTCCCTAAGATACGGCACCTCAGGATTCAACGTCACCACATCCGCAGCCTTTGGTCGCTTGTCAGTATTAGGATCCATTAACGGGCCTATACCGCGCTGTCCGTTGTTCTCCCGGACTACTTCCCCAGTCACAGAGTGAACAACCTGTAGACTGGACGTCGGCGGTGTATGGGCCGTGGCGTCGATAATACTCATGCGGTTGTCGCAAGCGCCAGGTTCGGGTTGGAGGAGACCCCAGGGAATCAGGAAACGCTGGTGTCCTCGCGTCTGCACAGTGACGGCGTCAGAACCGTGATTGATGACAGAGACTTCCAAGGCGGTGCGACTGCTTGACCCAGCGTTGGCAGGTGCGGTATCAGAGGATGAGGAGGGTACGCAGAGACGTATTCTTGTCTCTACTGTTGGTGGCCAGGACAGGCTCTCCACGACCGCGAATTCCGCTTTACCGGCTCCAGGTTTGCTATTGACCAACTTGACTGGTTCAGAATCACAGCTTGGCTGCTCACCATTGTCGACGAACTTCTTTCCATCACTAGACGTCCACAGTATCACGCCGAGATCTTTGCTCGCCAGTGTTATAGCATACTTCTTTCCCGGCTTCAGAATCGATGCCAACGGACCATGCTCATGGATCTCATAGTGATATAGCGTGAAGTGCTTTCTGTAGGGTTCCTTCCTGTTGATCGGGGATGACAGGGAAAGGCAGTACGACTCTTTCGGAGCCACTTGGTTCAGTCGGCTAAGATCTACTGGCAACCACTGCTTAGCGTCTTGAGGATCTTGTTGTTTTATTTCAAGTAAGCCATTTGCCAGCGCATACGGGACATCCATTGCCGAGCCTGCAGTCTCGAAGAGTAATGGCCGAGGGTCCTTGTCTGAGCGACGACAGAGGCCGAATAGGATGCTGAAGGGGTGTCTACCCGAGGCGTCATAGACTTTGAAGTGACTTTGGATGATTGTGTGGATTCGCAACTCGCGCATCTTTGTAGCTGCAGATGTTCGTAGTGTGTAGGTGTAGGTGCTTGCTGCTGTTGTGAGTATAAGTGAATGTGCGTATGAGTATGAGTGTGAGTGTGAGTGTGAGTGTGAGTGTGAGTGTGAGTGTGAGTGTGTGAGTGTGAGGCCAAGACCAAGTTAGGGCTTGCAATGGCAATCGCCCCGCCATCCCGAAGCTATTCCTTAATTGTGTGTGTGTGTGTGTAATTGCTACATCGGAGGGCCGTGCCCCTGTTCGTACCCCTTCCCATTGAAAGGCGTAGCCCAGAGTGCAACCGTTTTTACCCACTCGGCCTTACGGCCATGTTCGGCATCCGTACCCCATTTGAGGTACGGCAGATAATCGTGATCCCGTAAAACCACGGCTATGTACATTATATTGAGGAATTCCAAATCCTCCATTGCAACCAGACACCATTACACTCTGCAATGTACCCCGAAGCTTTTTCCTCGTTTCTCAGGGCCGAGCTCTAGCCTCTCTGTTCCATGTACACTCAGACACCCAGTATTCCAATTCCTTAAGTAGTATAGTAGGCTTGGCCCAGGATGCTTAAGAATCCTCTTACATCCATAGAAACAAGACTATCATTATTCTCTTCTACCGATATGGACAGCATGTGATCATTCTTATTTTGTAAGATAAGGTACAAGTACTTAAAGATCGGTAGGGCGGTTGTGCTAGTATCTTGACGCCGTTTTTACGCGCAATAATATCCCTTTCCTTATGGCCGGGACGTACACGCTAGTAGGGGTCAAATGTAGGGGCATGGATTGGTCAGATCGACGTCGCCGCGCTCATGAGTAAGTAAAATCTTAAGCTGTAGTGAACCGCGATCATTGGATAAATGATAATTTCTATATTTAACCCCTGCTAGCGTAGACGTGCCGAACACAAGAAAGGGGATATCTGTATCTTCTCAGCGTAAACCTCAACGCAATTTCGAGCCGGAACCGCTCGATTCAGCCAATTTTCTCGGGGACTCATCACCGACGGCGACCCCGTGGCATGAGCATGGGGCCTATGTATACGGGATGCTTCCTGGAACATTGCGACAAAGTCGATTTTCAGCCCTCAAAGACCTGGAAGAGCTAAGCGCTGATTATGTGAGGGCTCGAGCCGATGTTGGCTCGGAACTAGGGTGGTGGTGGTGCTAATTGCCGCTCCCGCTACTCCGTACGGAAGACTGACCCAAAAAGTCATCCCTAACTGAAGCTAAGTTCAGTGCCTACACCGGCTCAGAGATTGCTCCGGGCACTCTGCAGCCGGCACAAGCGCTCATCAGCCCAGGGTCCTTTTGAAATATCGACACTTCAAAACGCATATAAGGCTGCAGCCAAGCGATTCATGTACATACGGTAAGGTCTAAAGGTTACTTGAAAGCGTTACGGCCGGAGCGCTCTTGACTGCATATAGATGTAGATATAGGCAGAACCAAGTCTTCAAAATCTTTCCGTTGCAAATCCTATCTACTATTGTCGCCATCTCCGACGCAGACGCAGACGCAGACGCAGAAGCAGAAGCAGAAGCAGAAGCAGAAGCAGAAGCAGGTGAGTGCATCATTGCACATTCAGCTATCGGATACTTTAACATTGATGCAATAGAAAGTCTCGTAATCCGGGGGAATTGCCAAGACGGAGCGGTTCGGACTCGGCTGAAGCCACTCATGAACCTCCGAAATGCTATGCTATCCTACTCTAGTTTTATAACGGACAAGCGCCTTGTTCATTATGGTCTGTGGTCTTCTGGCTTGGTAGTGACGTCTTGCTAAGAAGCGTTTGAATGAAACTGCACTTTCCAGCTGTAAGGTCTCTTGTCTTGCATAGAAGAAGCGACTATATCCTTCGGCCGTAAGGTATGTTACCGTTTATACGAGGAGAGGTTGCCCTTTCCGGCTGTAAGGTCCGTTGCCCTGCGTATGAGAAGAGGCTATATTCTCAGACCGTAAGGCATCTTGCCTTGATGATTGCGGATCCCCAAAAGTTGGGGATCCTTCCTTCGGGGATCCGCAGTCAAGGCAATGAAGGAGGTCTTTTTTCTTGTCCTTGAGAAGACTATCTGCAGGAAGTTTGACAGAGACTTGATATAAATAACAAGTCAATGCCCAACTCCAACTCAGCAGAAGCACGCCTCTCGCTCCCCTTATTCACGATTCCATTAATCTACCACCCAACTCTAGCAACAATACATCTTCTTCAATAATGTCTTTGTTGAATATCATCTCCCTTGCGCTTGTCGTAGCGTTGACTCGCGCTGGTCCTATCCTCAACAATCCATCCCGAGTCCTCCGCCGCGATGCACCCGCGCCTTCTGCCTACCCGCTTGACAGTGCTTGCGGCAATGAGTGGCAGTACCTGAACTTCAATACCACCGTTGCCACTGATAGGGTCCATCTCCAGACCCTTCACGATGTCATCTGCGGTGGCGAAATGCGCGCCATCTCCAGCTATGGCCAAATCTCGGCTCAGAACGTCAATGCGCCCTACAAACGCTACTTCCCGGAAAGCGACGACGAAGATGACTACCCCACCAATGTCAAAGATGTCTTAGGTCTAATCGCAGGCGCGAGCAGCACCGACGGAGCTATCGGAACCGTTGTCGGAACGTTTGTTGTGGATAATCTTGGTAAGCTGCTTCAGCTCCGCTTTCCAATTTCCTCTGTTTTCGATTCTCTTTGGCAATCTCCTCTGACCCCTTCGATAGACTTTGCCGCGAACGTTCCAGGGGCGTCTGACTGCACCGTCGAGGGCACCCTGGCCTATACACTCGAGGACCAAGTCGACGACCTCGAGAAGATCCATTTCTGTGATCTCTCGTGGACCCGTGGAGAAGCTAGCGACGTCGACTGCGCCTCTTTGGACCCCTTTCCTAGCACGAAGATGGACTCCTTCTCGCGCATCGCGTTGCATGAAATGATGCACTACAGCTCCATTGGCCCTAATACGCCTGTGGGGGAGACTATCGGAGACTGTAAAAATGCAGATTCGGAGCCGGCGAACGATCCTCCGCGTGTGCATGGCCTTCTTGATCCAAACCAAGACGATAACCCCGCCGTCACTGAGATCAATGCCGATAGCTACGCTTGGATGTCGCTAGACGCTTGGATGAGTCAAAACTGCATCGCAGGTTCGGATACTAACAACTGGGCATCCTTTTTCACTCAGAACCCACCGCCGTACAACGAGTGAGCTTTGTGACGTTGTCAAGTGGAGCTTCATTTGAGGAATAGTTGATAGTGATGGCGAGTCGATAGCGTGGGTAGATTGAATAGAGGCAACATTTGCAATTCATGATTTCGTGTCATACTCATCCTTCTCAGCGGTCTCCCCCCACTCTCTTCTTCCCTTCTCCTCTGTCATGAGATGCCTCAGGGATACTCATAGGGCCACTAGCGTAGGCTTGGCACCGCACATACTCCTCGTTGGCAGCCACCCCACCAAATTTTCGCCGTGACCACCGCCAAATGCACGCAGAAGCCAAATTCGTGGTAGATAGCTGTAGGTTAGCTGTATTTTAGGCCTCCACGGCCACGCTGTCGCTGTCGCTATGCTATCGTAATGCTTTCCCAGTATTGCTAGTAGTGCTTTATTCAGTAGAGAGGTTTAGCAACGTGATTCAAAAGAATAATTCAAAACGAAAAGGGTAATAATTTAATAGGCTAATCATATAGAGTAATTATTAGCCTCGTCGATTATCTATAAATTAAATTACTATTTTATATTATAAAATAATAATTTAATTATAAAGTTACTCTATATAACGTTAGTATAACTACTTATTTAAATATATAAAATTAAATAATTAGTTAATAAATCTATTAAGCTTTTATTATATATATTTTTTATCTTTTAATAAATAATAGCTAAATAAAAAGAGATTTTTAATATTTATATATTAAATATAAAATCTATAAAGAAGTCTTAATCTAGAAGAAACGATCTTATATTATTCAAAATCACCTTTATTTTATTAGGAAATTCTATTTTATTAATAAGTTAATAATTCTTTATAGTATATAGATCTCTTAAAGCTATATTAAAGTATTATCGCGCTACTTTTCTTTTCTATTTATCTAAAATATAACTTATTATACTTTTAATTAATTTTAAGAAATCTCTAATATACTATTAATAAGATAAAGATCTTATAATTTTATAATATTTAATTACTTTCTCTTATAAGTAAAAAAAAAGAAATAATATTATTCGAAAGTCTTTTAAAAGAAAAGAAAGAGTTTTTAAATTATATATAAGAGAAAGAGTAAAGAGAAGAAATATATATCGTTAGCTAGAGAGAAAGATAGTAATAACTTACTTCTATAAAATAATCTTAATACTATAAGATTATATATAGATAAATAAAAATAAATAATAAAGAATTTATAAAATTAAATTAATAATAATTAATTAATAAAGAACTCTTAAATTTTAACTTTAATTTTTATATTAAATATATTAAAAAAAATTATTATAGATAATAATTAAACTAATATTTTATAATAGAAAAGCGATTAATAGAGAATAATAAATTCTTATTATAAATATTACTCTTAAATATTAAGCGAGATATAGAGTAAACTCGATAAGATAATTTTAAAAAAGAATATAAGAGAAGTTTATAAAGATTATTAAGCGAGATTACGCGAGTATTAAATATTATATAAAGAACTATTTTAATTATAAATATAGTTAATTAAAATAAAATATAAAAGTAAATTATAATTATAAGATATAAAAGAATATATAAATTTAGATAATAAATAATTAGAATATAATAATTTAGATCTTTAAGAAAAAGAAGAATATTAATAAAGTAGCTAAAGAAAAGAAGCTATAAGACTTATAAAATTATAATTAAGATTATAAGTATTTAAATAAGAGAATAAGTAATAAGAAGAGAAAGAATAATATATTTAATAGCGATAAGATTATAGATTAAGATAATAATAATAATAATAAAAGTAATACTAACGAGATCTTAAATAATAACTTTTTTATACTATTTAATAATTCTTTTATATTATATAATCGCTTTATATTTAAATCTTTATTATTTAATTTATTAATATTAATATTAAGATAAAAATCTTCTATTTTTAAAAACGATATTACCCCTAGTAATAGTTTTTTAAATTTATATATATATATTATAGTTAAGAATCTTAGTAGTATAAGCGAGCTATTTAATATATTATCTAAATAAATTAAAAAGTAGAAGAAAAAGAAAATCTTTAATAAGTCTTATAGAAAGAAGAAGAACTATAAGATTATAGCTATCGAAGAAATTATCAAATTAGAAATAACTTTAATTATATATCTTAAGCGTTTAATAAATTAGTTTATAATATTTATATAGTTTATAATATCTATATATTAATTATTAACTCTATAATCGTTAACTTAATCTAATTAAATTTAGATATTATTTAATAAAATTTAAATAAATAAATAGTTAGATATTATAATTAATAATATTAAAGATTATTAGAATAATATAAAGAATAATTTAACTTATATTAGATATATAGAGAATTAAGTAAAATAACTTATTTTTATATTAGCTGATATAAAAAAAGGAGTAGCGTATTTAATAGAAAATTAAAAGCTTCTAGGGGAGACGTAGAACTTTATATTAAAAAGTCTTATTAAGAGCTTAATAACTTATGAAAACGATATAATATATATTCTTACTAAAGCTATATAAAATATAATAAAAATTTATTAATAGATATTAAAGAATAATAAAGAGTAATAATTACTTATCGATTAAGAATTTAAAGTATATAATAAGTAAAATAATATCTTAAAGATTAATAAGAATAATATAGAGATATATAAATAACTTTCTAAGATTATAGAATATATATATAAATAATATATAGAATATATTAGAAGTCTTATTAAAAGCGTATAAATCGAAGAAATTTAAATCTAAATTATAATATTCTTCTATAAAAAAACGATTTCTTCGCTTTATATTAAAAGTATAGTCTTATATAAAATATATATTTATATTTCGTATTATTATCGTATTTTAATTAAGACTTTAACTGATTTCTTAAAAACTTTTTTAATCGCTATTAAAAATACGTAGTCGTACTTATAAATTTAGATAAATTTCCTTCGTAATATATTTAAAATTATAAAATAAACTCTCGACGAACTTAAGGGCGCTTAAAAGAATAAAATTCGATATATATATACTCTTTACGGCGTCTTAAATAGTTAATAAATAGTTATATAAAAATTTAATAAAGTTTAATTTTAGAAGATAGAGATATAGAAAATAAGAGTACTTAGTTCTATATATATTAATTCTATTATTTACTCTTAATATAAATATCGCTTATAAGAAGATTAAATAAATAAGCGTAAAGGGTTTAATCGCTCGCGACTTTAAAGAAAACTTCGTCTTTTTTAATATATAAATTTCGATTAAGAGCTATATAATAATAATAAGATATATTAATAATTTAAGCGATAACTTAAATAGTCTATATATATAATAGAATAAAGATAAGGATTTAATAAAGATTAACTTTAACTATAAAAAGTATATAAATAATCTAAGTATTAAAATCTTACTCTATAATATTAAGATATTAATATATAATAGAAGATCAAATTTCGAAGCGAGTTATATTCTTATTATCTCTAAAATAGATATAATAATTTATTAATAATATAATTACTCGATAAAGGTCTTCTATAAATTAAAGATTTATCTTTAATTACTATTTAAAGGCGTTAGAGATTTAAAGATTTTATATTTATTTAAAGCTATATTCTACTATAACTTTAGCACTTAATATTATTCTATTAAAGCGTTATTTTTTTATAGAGACTAAGTCTATATAAGAAGATATAATATAACGTTAATAAATATAAGCTTTATTTCTAAAAAGATGATAACGATAATATCTAGATTTCTCTTTAAATACTCAATCGAGTCTTTTAAGTACTCTAGATATCTAAAGTATTTTTATATTTATTATTTTTTCTTTATAGAAATTATAGATAGTTTTAATAAGATCGTCTAGATATATAACTATTATCTATATTATATTATAAGATTTTTTATAAATTAAATATTAGAAATTCTTCTTATCTTCTAATCTTATAATTCTTCGAAATATTTTATTAATAAAAGTCTAAATAATACTTTATTTATAATATTTATTAAATCGTTTAATAGTATAAGCGTATAATCGAATTCGATTATAAGAGAGAGTTAGATATTATAATAATATTAAGTTATAACGTCTTTATAAATATTTAAGTATATTATTAAAAATAATAGATAAATAAACTTCTAATTATTTAAAGATTTATATAAGTTTATATAATAATCTAAATTATAAAAGCTTATATAGTATTAAATATAAAGTAAATTTAGAATTAAGACGGATTCTTTATTAATAATCGATATTTTTTAGATTAAAATAGTATATAAAAATACGTATTTTATCTTTTATAAAGCGTATAATTCTTTATAACCGTTTAGAGATTTATAAATTTAAATTAAACTCGATTTACTTATACTTTATTAAGGGAATATATTTATAATATATTAAATAATATAATTATAAAGATCGTTATAACGAGAGCTCTATTATTAAAGGAGTTTATAATATATATATATAATAAAAGAAGAAAAATAAGTATATTTAAAGAGATTTATAACTCTTTAATAAAGATTTTATCGAAGTTCGTAATACTATCTAATCGGGTTAGCGGTAGAAGAATAGGGCTATTTTCATTTTAAATTATTTCTTTTAAAAAAACTGCTAAACCTCCCTAGTGCTTTCAGTACCACTCTCAGTACTACTTCCAGTAGTGCTCTGTCCAGTGCTCCCAGTAGTAGTGCTCTGTCTAGTAATCCCAGTAGTAGTGCTCTATCCAGTGGTCCCAGTAGTAGTACTCTGTCCCAATGGTCCCAGTAGTAGTGCTCTGTCTAGTGCTCCTAGTAGTACTCTGTTCAGTGCCCTCAGTAGTAGTACTCTATCCAGTGCTTCTAGTAGTACTCTGTTTAGTGCTCTCAGTAGTAGTACTCTATCCAGTGCTTCTAGTAGTATACTATTCAGTACTCTCAGTAGTAGTACTCTATTTAATAATTCCAGTGATAGTACTCTATTTAGTACTCTTAGTAAAGCTCTATCTAATACTCTTAGTAATAGTACTCTATTTAA